AAGTCAAGAACCATCTTTGCCCACACTTTGAGTACTCCCGCGCCGATCTCTTCAACATCATCTATGTAAAGGGCTTGAAGGACTTTGCCGCTGTCATGAAGGAAGCCGGAAAAGATCCGAATTCCCTGGGCTGCGAAGCCTGCAAGCCGACTATTGGAAACATTGTCGCTTCGCTGTACAACAAACATCTACTGGAGGTCAACAACAGAGGTCTGCAAGATACGAACGACAGATTCCTGGCCAACATCCAGCGGAACGGCACGTTCTCCGTCGTTCCCCGAGTTTCTGGCGGTGAGATTACCCCAGAGAAGCTCATCATTATCGGTACCGTCGCGAAGAAGTACAACCTCTACACCAAGATTACGGGCGGTCAGCGTATCGATATGTTTGGTGCGCGGAAACAAGACCTTCCTGATATTTGGCAAGAACTCATTGATGGTGGAATGGAGTCGGGTCACGCATACGCCAAGTCATTAAGAACAGTCAAGTCATGTGTCGGAACCACGTGGTGCCGATTCGGTATCGGCGACAGTGTTGGTATGGCAGTGCGTCTAGAAGAGCGCTACAAGTCCATCCGTGGGCCTCACAAGATCAAGGGTGGAGTATCTGGTTGCGTACGTGAATGCGCCGAGGCACAGAACAAGGACTTTGGTCTCATTGCTACTGAGAAGGGTTTCAACATCTTCGTAGGTGGCAACGGTGGTGCGAAGCCTCGACACTCGGAACTTCTCGCCAAGGACGTCCCACCGGATGATGTAGTGCCCATTCTCGACCGCTACCTGTCTTTCTACATTCGCACAGCCGACAAGCTTCAACGGACAGCGCGCTGGATGGAGAACCTACCCGGCGGCATCAAGTACCTACAGGAGGTCATCCTCGAAGACAAGCTAGGCATCTGCGCAGACCTAGAGAAGCAAATGGAAGACCTTGTTGGTACCTTCTTCTGCGAATGGACCGAAGTTCTCAAGGATCCCAAGAAGCGCTCCTGGTTCTCACAATTCGCAAACACTTCCGAGACCATCGTCGACACCATTGAACCCACCCAAGAGCGTGGTCAAGAACGCCCATCCTACTGGCCTAAAGACTCGATCACAGAAGACTTCCGTGGCACAAAATGGACAGAATTGTCTTGGCAACCCCTCGTCAAAGCCGAAGAGTTCAAAGACGCCGACACGGGTGATAGTAAGGCCATCAAGCGCGGCGACACCCAACTCGCTGTCTTCAAGGTCCGTGGCAAGTACTATTGTACTCAGCAGATGTGCCCGCACAAGCGTGCTTTCGTCCTCTCCGACGGTCTCATCGGCGACGATCTTGCCAACAATAAACTGTGGGTCAGCTGCCCGTACCATAAGCGCAACTACGAACTATCGGGCGACAACGCAGGAAAATGCGCCAACGATGAGAGCGTCAACATCGCTGTTTTCCCTATTGAGGAGCGCGGTGATGGGTGGCTGTATGTCAAGTTGCCTAGTGTAGAGGAGCTGGACAGTGTACTTGGTACAAGTAAGTTCAAAATCAAGAAGAGCGAGACGGAAGATCCATTCGTTGCTCTAGATAAGAAGTTGCAGAGGCTGCAACTGAAAGGAAGGAAGGGGATGCAGGTTTCTCATCTTGAGGGTGGGTTAGGGGAGAAGGCAAAGGCGGCGCAAATACTCGCTGGTGGAGAGAGGGGTGCTGGAGGCTTAGACTGGTAGCTCCCGTGTATGATTCAGGGCGCTTTTGGTTTGGCGTCGTGGTGTTTGTTGTATGATTCCCATGATTGGATATGTAGATGAATTGGTACATGACTCTTTCGATTGCAGTTTTGTTCTCATGCGCTGTACGTTGGACTCTCGGTGCAGTATGCTAGTGCCTCCACACATGAGAGTCTTGCTTGTCGTCATCGGCTCTAATGGTTACTTCCGGAATCGTGCGATCGCCTCAGCCTCCGCATGATGGCAGTGCCAGGAGAAAACCGCACTATGGGTTAGGGGTTTCTCGTCTCAGTGGTGGCAGGTGGCTTTCCAACTGCGCATGATCACACATAGTAGATACGTCAGCCTTAGCCATGGTGCTGGTATACATGTGGTACCTATAACTTGGTTCAAATTGGCTGCGACGTCAATGTAGTTGCTGGCACTAATATAGTCTTCACTTCTGTACGGCCATCAACTCAATCGCAAATGTCTTGTTTCAAAGTGGATGCAATCCCAGTCCCTGATTACATGAGAAGCCGTCCCATCCACAGTTATTTAGCCTTGATAATGGGTGCAGTCAACGACAGGTAGTTTGGCACTATGCTCACGATGGTACCCGACAAGATCTTCACTGCTCTCTTTGTGATTCTACAACGCTTGGTGCTCCATGTCGGATGTCATAGCTCTTAAATGTATAAATTAGAGTATGGTGGGTGTAAAATCGTTATCGTAGCATCCGTTCCTAAGCATAATCAGACGGGAAGTGTCCAAGAAATCAGCTTATTGCAGGCGCGACATCTTCTGGATCAGATGATGTATTTCGCATCACTACCCCAGTGTCGAAAGCCCCGGCATTAACTAGTACGATATCTGGCTTTGCTTGTTCGATTGGTTAGTGGCGATAGCCTTGTATTGGCGAGGCGGGTGCACCTACCGTAGACTAGTCACTCTCTGAATCACGTTGGACAGCCCCTAGCCGTGAAAGTGTCTGCCCACCATCGTATCATAGTTTGCTCCGATATTGGCGCGCGCTCACGTAAAGCTCAAGCCATGCTGACCGCCAGTACGCCGAGCCTTGAAGGCCACCTTGAGCCAAGTGCGCCAGTGTAGCAATGGTGGAACCACATTATGCAAAAGATAGCGATCAAAATTATCCGCAGCGAGCGTGTGAGGATGCACAGTGCTCCGCTTGACATCTAATGTACACTGTCTCTTGTTGAAATCCTGTATGCTTCCTAGCCGATCCTAACTAATCGATTAACGGAAAAGGCGTATCTAGAAATCCTTGTTTCCATGAATCTTAAGAGAATGAGCCCAACAACGCAGACTCGCTGACGTTGGTACGTTACGAATATGAGTGAGGTTACATCAGGGTGTAACACAAGGCAGACCGCCGAGTGTACGTTGAGAATGGTATGGGCCATACTCCTTGATTGGTTTTCCACAGTTTGGAACCAATTTCCGAACGCATTAGATGATGTGTCATAGATAATGCTTCAAATCAAGGTTAGATTGGGTCAGCGTGCTTTCTGAGGTTCTCTCGTCGTCATCGCGGAAGCAAACATCTTGATCCCCTTGTGGCACATGGAAGTGGTGCGGAGTTCCAACAATGCCTTCACGGCGGGTCAGCACACATGTAAAGTAACGACGCTCTCACCGGTGTTTTATGGGTATATAGTATCTAATTTCTGGGTTGGTTACTGCTTTCTTTCGAAATCAACTTGCTGAACAACAATCAAAGCATCCACTGTCGAGCCTGCGGCCACATTACCTCTCCACTAGCGTCACTCAAAGCTCTGCAATCGAAAACATGAAGATCAACGTTGGCTTCGATACGGTCAATGTGGACGGTAGCACCTTTCGGGCTTGGTTCCCTCAGCTGTCGTATATGTCCGGATTTGACGGTGATCTCGTGGAAGACATCAACACCCGCATTGGTGGAAGGTATGGCATAACGCGAGAGGACATTGAACACACGCTGCTCGCATTCTTCAAACAACTGGAGTATCGTCTCGTTTCGTTGGAAGGCCAGACACGGATACGCGTAGTTGGTTTTCTGATGAACCAAGTGCAGAAAGACATGCAAGAGGTGTGGAAGGCCAGGGGCCTTAGAAAATCGCGGCACATGTTCGTTGTTTTGGCCTACCTAGCATCAGAGGGTCAATCCATCTACCTTGCTGAAGCCTTGATTCGATTTTGGTCGCAAGGAACGCGGTATCTAATGCAGGAGTCACAGCAATACCACGGAGACTGGCGCAAAGCTCTCGAAAAGATCCGGGAATTGATGGAAGGCCCTCCCAATTTGCGTCTTGAAGCACTCGCGATGATTCCATACGCTGAGATGCATCGTCGTCGATCCCCTCGCGCCTTAGCACTGCCATGGCTAGGGCACAGAGCTCGGTCACTACCAGCAATTCGACATCGTCACAACGCAGACATGCGTCTCGCCAGTCCCTCATATCCCAGCTCTGCCTGGACCTCGCCAGTCATTTCACCTATCGGCTATCCGAGAGACGACTATCTCGAGGAGCTCGGCAACCTTCAGTACCAACAGAGTGAAATGAACATGAAGTTGAACAACGTCGATGGAAAGCTTGACCTTCTACTTGCTAGCTATTACTAGTGATCAAGAGCAGCGCTTTTGGATCCTGAGCATAGAGTGGATCAATCTATCGTTCTGGGGTGGGCTGTCGTAGTGACTAGCTGCGGATCAAAACAGCGAGCACCCAGTTGCTAGTATTGAGGGTCTGATCTTGGCAAAGGGGGAGGGTTGAAATGGTTCAACACGGGATGCGAGGCTTGGATTGATTGTTGGAAGGTCTTTCAGTGGGTAGGCTTCAGACTTTCTATGATTCAGGAGACAGATGAGCGTTTTAGCGAGGTGTTGCATCGACGGCCTACGTCATGGTCATCTAGGTATTCTTTGCAATTTCGATAGTTTGTGTTTTGCTAGGTAGAAGCGTTATATAGCATACTGAGCACCCTCTACCTTCCCTACCATGGTTTACAAGTTCAGGATTTTCAAACGCGAATTGAATGGTATACTACCGCGGCCGATTGAAAGATTTACCCTACCTATTGCGTATACAACCCGTTCTTTTCTGCCTGTGAAAGGGAGGCAGCAAGCTGATTTGCGCTATCATATCACAGTGATACTGAGCCAAGCTGAGCCATGGTATCGACAGTCATTGGCTAGAATACTATGAGGCGGCCACGCGCATCGTCGAAGCAAACATGTACGACACTTGAATTCAGCCGCTTGACCAACGATCGATCGCAGAGGATCGTGTCAGCCTGCTGCTCACCGACCTTTGATGTATAAAGACATCAGCGAACCGTTGAGAGGATCTTTGGGCGTTCCTGTGCGACCACAAGTCCCTCCAAGCATTCTCAGAATCCCTTCATACGTACTGCAAATCTTCAAACTCCACACGGCTAATTCATGGAGGATATCGGCGTCATTCACCTCGATAGCGGCCGCTTGTTCAAAATCCGGCTGAGCGAGTTGGAGCGATGGCTTCCAAAAATTCACCATCTGGTCCATTTCAATAGATTTGACGCCCGTGGCCTGGTTAGACAGATGACCGGTATTTTCGATGGCCAGGTATACCGTACCATTACAGCTGAAACGATCATAACAGTTTTGGACGACTTTATGACACAGCTAGAATTGAACCCTCTTTTCGCCCCTCCTATTGGAAAGACTCTGCAGAGAAGCATCGAACTTCGTCTTAGGAAGGACTTAAGTGTCGCAAATACCGCAGGTCTTCGGCGTAGCAGAGAGCACTTTATGGTTTTTTGCCTCTTAGCGCGACTTAGCCGATCGCAAGCTCTAGCGGAATCTATGGCAAGTTTCCTCTGCTGTTTTGTTTGGGAGGTCGTTCACGGTGAAGAACCCGAGCTGTTCAGAGAGTGGTGCATGGGCATCGTTGAATTGCGAGACTTGATACCCCACCAGATCCTCGAGGGGCTGTTGCGCTGCTTCTTTGGATTCGTCGATCGAGCATACGAGCCCAGGCTGCTGCCTGCGTACTACGACCGACACGCAAAGACTATAATGAGATACATGTTGCAAGCGCAACACCACTCGCTGCTCAACCATCCACGAAGAAGGGCACCGCTGATACTCGAAGATCCAGCTGGATACTTGCGGGATCGGCTTTTGTGTGTTGGTCGTCCCCGGCAGCATTATCGTTATCATCGCCAACTTCAACTCACATACCCATGGGCTCAGCCAAACGGACGCTTCGATGAGGTCGAGAAAATGCAGTATCAGCAAGAGGAGATGAACATGAGGATTGACCACATAGACCGAAAGCTCGATTACTTGATCTGAATTTGGAGCTTCGAAAGAATTGGGACTTCATGTCGTCGTCATTGTGCGCCAATCGTATGTATACTGCTGTGTCTGATTCCCTGGTTGAGTTATGCCAGGGTATCTTTGTTGGTGGCTGGAGCGGTTAGCCAGACTCAACGTGACGTGAGCGTCTGTAGAAACTTACCACTGCGTTACTGTATCCGGTTGTTGCATAAAGTATCACAGATACTTGCAATGTTCATTATGCTCCATGCGCGTCGCTAATTCGAATGTTCTCTGAGCGTCCAAGACCATGCCGAGCGCTTGTACACCTCACTATAGCTATGCCATCATCTCAAGTAGTGGATGACCAGCCAGCAGAACAGGAAAAAGACCACCACCCCACCCCAGAAGATCCATTTATCCTGCTTCGCTCTCCTCTCCACCATACGTATGGTATCACCACTAATACCCAAGGTATTTGCAACAGTGTAAAGCCGCCTCTGTGTGCCCTTGAGCATATCCCTCTGCTGGCCCAGGTCGCCGAGCACAGCCCTCCCTCTGTCTAGGAACTCATCTAACTGCTCAGACGTCTTGTTGAAGAAAGTGTTTTCCCTCAGCACATGACCCTCGCGATCATAGTCACCGCCTTGAGGTGCGCCAGCAGAGTATGGGTTTGGTCGGTAGGGAGCATTGGGGTTGTAGGGTTGGGAGGGTGCAAAGGCCGAATGTTGGGCGGAGAGATTAGGTTGTGCGTAGGGGTTTTCGGGCGTAGCTGTGTTGTGCGGACGGCGGCCTAGCAGTTCTGTGCGCGCTTCTGTACTTTGCTATTGCTAGTCAGCACCGAAGCTAGGGGTCCAAGGACGCTGGTTCGAAACGTACAATCTCCTCATTTGCGCTCTTGATCCGTTTGAAGTTGGCCCTGTATTCTTCCAGTTCAGCTCGGAAGTTCTTCAATCGCTCCTGGGCCTTTTCTGCCTTGGTCTGTACAGGTTCTTGCTTTGCAAGCTTGCCATAATCGTCGATGGTGCGTGCAAAGGAAGTCAACGACGCGTTCAGTTGGGCTTGGAGATGTGGTGATGGCGAGGCCGAGTCGGCAAACTGGTCCAGATCTTTTCGTATCGACGTCGACTGTCGTAAGGCGGAATTGAAGAGCGCGTTCTGTGTGCGATGTGAACTTGTGTTGCACCAACGTGAACAGGGAAGCAAACCATTGTGGATTTGAAAAGTTGCGGCAATGTTTCGACGAGTCAAAGGCACTGCGATTAGGCTTGGGTCTTAGCGCGATGTTTGTAGCAGCAGGTGTTATGTTGCAGCCTTGTAGGCAGACTTTCGTGACTTGACACATTGCATCATCGCGAAGTTCGACTGCTGGAACCTCGGTGAATTGCCAAGCCTCTAGCCTGTCTGCGCTAGCGGCATACCTAGAGGCCCTCTCACTTCCTAGAGTTTGACATCTGGGTACTCCGTCGCAGCATATAAATCTCAGCTTCATCCCAAGACTCCACGTGAATGTCCCGGGCCTTGTAACTTTCGACAAGTACATCATATCGTCTCCAAGTGTTAATCACCCAGATAGCCGTTCCCTGCTAGCCTGAATTCCTCGACGATGCCGCGACTGCTGGTACAATACGACGTCTTGTAAAGACAGAAGACTAGAATGTCCTCGAGCTTCTATCGCTACGCGTGTTTGCGACGCCTATGCTACCCAGCCATGTCTGCTGCTGTACGTATGTATCTGCACAGGCCACAACCGTCTGCTCTGCCTAGTGGCAATATCTCTTTCGTCCCTTTAGTCATTGCACAGCGCTCCGCACCTTATCGGCTTCTCTTTGGCGTGTTCAAGCTTTCAACGTCCCGTGGTTGACGTCGTCTTCTCCGTTCCACCTGCCTATTCTGGTAAGCATCTACCCTGTCGGCATGTAGCAAGCCTGGGTATCAACGCTTGCCGAGCCGCGGAACAGGTGCATCTCGAAAAGAGATCGCAAAACATGATGAGCAGCGTCTATCGTACACCCGGTATGCTAACTAGCATGGGAAGTTCGTTGTGTGCTGCTTCCGATATGCGGATCCATGTTATAGCGTGCCGTCTCACGCCCTGGGCGACAAGCCATCTAGTCATCACTATAAGACGGCAATCCACAACGCAAGATCTGGAAGGATAACTAGCTATTCGTCGCATCGACAATGTACCTCAAATCGGCTCTCTTCGGCAGCGCGCTGCTCTCGACAGCCTGCGCGCATGAGATTCTTTTTGGCCGCGACCTTCCATTGCCAGTGGCAGCCAATGCAGAGTCATACACCGACTGTGCTAATGCCGCATGGCCTCCATCAAACGTTGGCGTGGAGCTGATTCCGCAAGTACCGGACGATGAGATGCGAGCCATTGTGAACGAGATCAGCCCAGCCAACATCGAAGCCACAATCACCAAGTTAGTCTCGTTCGGAACCCGCCATACACTGGCTACATTCAACAGTTCGACGCGCGGGATTGATGCAGCAAGAGACTGGATAGCTTCTGAGATGCGGAAGTATGCCGCGGAGAGCAATGGCACGATGACGGTCGAAGTACAAAGCTATCTACAAGGAGTGGCCAGCAGAATCCCCTTTCCCGTGTACATTTCGAATGTGCTAGCAACTGCCAAAGGAAGTGAGAACCCGGAAAGAGTATATGTTATGACTGGACATTACGACAGTCGCGTTACGGATGTCCTCAACTATGAAGCCGATTCTCCTGGAGCCAACGACGATGCAAGCGGAGTTGCCAGTAAGTTAATATCGGATGCACATTCGGAGAACAATGGCTGATTTTGCTAAAAGTTGCGATGGAGATCGCGCGTGTCCTCGCAAAGCATCAGCCGAAATCAACGATTATTCTTGGTGCTGTATCTGGCGAAGAACAAGGCTTATATGGCTCGACCTATCTCGCACAAACCCTCAAGAACTCCAGCACCAATGTCGAAGGTATGCTTAACTGCGACATTGTTGGTTCTTCAACTGGGGATCGAGGTCAGAAAGATCCATATACTATTCGTGCTTTCGCACAAGGTGTTCCTCCTCTATCTGCCGAGAACAACGTCACTGCAGCACGACGCCTCCAAATTGGTGGCGAGAACGATAGTCCGGCACGAGAGCTTGCGCGCTTCTCTGCCGAAGTTGCTGCCAACAATGCCACCGGCATGAACGTAGCCATCATCTACCGTTTAGATCGCTTCCTGCGCGGAGGCGACCATACTGGATTTCTCCAGGCGGGTTATCCAGCCATCCGGTACACAGAGCCTAACGAGAACTTCGCTCATCAGCATCAAGATTTGCGTACCGAAAATGGCACTGTTTACGGCGATTTGATTGAATTTGTCGATTTTGACTTCACAGCACGTGTCGGTAAAGTCAATCTTGCGACGCTTTGGTCCCTGTCTCAGGCTCCTGCGATGCCACGCAACGTTACAATCGATACCACAGTCTTGGACAACGATTCGCGCATCAAGTGGATAGTTTCCAATAGCACAGATGTTGCAGGCTATGAGATTGTATGGCGATCCACTACAGCAAGTTTGTGGACTCGCATGCTCGATGTTGGCAAGGTCGGCTCAGTCGTTCTTCCGCTTAGCAAGGACAATGTTATCTTTGGCGTAAGGGCCGTCGGAACGAACGGGTATAAGAGCCCTGCTGTCTATCCTTTCCCAGGATAGAGGGAGATGATCTGAAATGCTTTGCAGAAGGAAATTGTCTTGATTCGCGTCATTGGGATGAAAAATTTGAATCCAACGATGCAATAGATTGTATATTTTCCCGCATACCTTTCCCTAGAAGACTGGCGGGGCTCTCAATACTAAGATGGTAACTACACGTGATCGATTTCTTAGGCCAGCCCTCGCAAGCATCTCCGCTTTCGGCACGTATGCGCCAAGCGTCGCCAGCTACAGCAGACATGCAAATCTCGGGTCAGAGCGATATAATACATGCGCAAGGCACAATTGTTCAAGAATATCCCCTAGCTCTGCTTGATTCGCGAGTATCCTCCTACGGTCTTGTCGGCTTCGTTGTACAGTCTCTTTAACCATGTCGCCGACTAACACTATAACACAGACCACAGCAAGCACCAATACACTTTCAGGTAGTATTTCACACACGAACATCGAGTTGAAATCTACAGTACCAGTAGCATTGCGCGACCAAGGACGTGTATTGGGTAACGAAGAAAGTAAAAGCATCGATCCGATCGAGTCACTTCCTCAGCCATCAACTGCGGTGTCAGTAGTTGAACGATGGAACCATCCGAAGGCCAATATATACCGCACATTTGCTATTCTGTTCGCCTTTACTATCATGGGCGCGAATGATGCCGCTTATGGTGTGAGCAACCCTGTCCTTCCTATCCACGTAGGATGCTGACCTTACGCAGGCCATCATTCCTTATCTTGAAGATTACTACAATCTCACGTATGTCGTGGTGTCCCTGGTGTTTCTCTCTCCAATGGGTGGCTATGTTAGTGCCGCCCTTTGCAACAACTGGCTGCATGTCCGTCTTGGTCAGCGCGGAATTGCTTTCGTCGGACCCATCTGCCACCTTGTGGCCTATGTAGGCATATCCCTCCATCCGCCCTACCCTGTCCTGGTGGTTCTGTTTATATTCTCTGGTTTTGGCAACGGCATCGAGGACGCAGCCTGGAATGCCTGGGCAAGTAGTCTGGCCAATGCGAATGAGGTCCTAGGATTCTTGCATGGCTTCTATGGTCTTGGGGCTTTGCTTAGTCCGCTCGCTGCTACAAGCTTGATTGCAAAGCGCGGATGGCAGTGGTACCAGTTTTACTACATATTGGTTAGTCATTCGGGCCGCGCGTGAACCGTTACTCACTCTCAGTAGCTTGGCGGAGCAACCATTGAGCTTGCAACATCTCTTTGGGCCTTTTGGTCAAGATCAGGTCAAGTGTATCACGAACAGAACCCTGCTACGAATGCAGCGGGCGAAGGCCGTCTTAAGCAAGCGCTCAAGAGCCGCGTCACCTGGGTGGCCTCTATCTTTCTCTTTAGTTATGTTGGAGCTGGGGGAGCGCTTGGAGGTTGGATCGTGACTTTCATGCGCCGAGAACGAGCCGGTGGCGAGTTTGAGTCTGGTATTGTCGCTACTGGATTCTGGACTGGCATCGCTGCCGGACGTCTTATTTTGAGCTTCGTCACTCCAAAGCTTGGTGAGAAGTTTGCTGTGCTGGTATGGTAGGAATCGGAAAAGTGGATGCATAAACTAATTCTATATCAGGTTTATATCATCATCGCCATCCTCTGCCAACTCATGTTCTGGCTCGTCCCGTCGTTTCACGTCTCAGCTATCTTTGTTGCACTACAAGGGGTTTTCCTTGGCCCATTGTTCCCAGCGGTCATCGTTGCAACAACAAAAGCTCTCCCGCCATATCTCCACGTCTCCGTGATCGGGTTTGCTGCCGCAATCGGTGTCGGTGGCGGCGCTGCATTACCCTTTGCTATTGGATCACTGGCTCAAGCAAAGGGTCTTGGTGTCTTGCAGCCCACAATTCTCACTGTTCTCGTAGTGCTTTTGGTACTATGGCTCTGCTTCCCAAAACTAGGAAAAAAGAAAATAGGAGGAGACATGCCTATATCAAGGCCAGAGGAGCCGCGGAAATGGTGGCTTAATATAGATTTCGACCTGATCGAAACCGGAAGACACGCCATTACGAAGGCTTGGGGCTGCTAAGTGGGCAACATTATCAGGAAAATATCGTGGCAAGCGCGCTCATCTCAGAGCTGAAAAACCGGCATGCAGTGTCAGTGAGTGCAAATGCCTGGAGCCATCTGCAGATGGGACTGCAACCTCTCTCCATGCCTCCTTCCACTCCAGTAGGCGGACTCCATCTCTTTCGTCGTTATATAATGTACAGACTATACAGGTTCCACTTGCTTCAACTTTATGTTTACCAACATCAACACTCAATACACTGCACCAACTATAATTCAACTTTGACGTCAAATTGCATTTGCGTGACTCGACTGAAAATCTTAACTCGCTCTGGTTACTCTGATGGTAACACGTTCAAGAGCATTTGGCACTGCGGAATCAAATCTTACGGTCTCGCACCTTTGTTCACCGTCTTCGATCTCTTATCGCCAGTACCATCTACCTCGACCTCATGTCGTCAACCCCGTATGAAGCTTCTTCATGCTCCATCACAGGCATGGCGCAATCCCTGGCAGCTACCTTAGATGAAAGCCAAATACGAAGACTGATCTACACGGACTACATACCTCCTCAGCCGCCGAACCGGAAACGTCTGAAAACAACGGACTCAGCCCGACGGAAGACCTGATATGTCAAGACACCAACTCGAGAATCATCACATTGTCGGCCTGGAAGCGTTTGGAGAAACGTGGTGAAAAGCTGTTAGCGATCGGCCAAACTATCCGAGCAGCGTACGCATGTGATCACCTTAACTTTTATGATGGCGAAAGCTTTGTTTTGTTCACGTCTCTACCGGGGTTCAACAAGCTTGTACTCATAGCGGAGGCTCGCGATAATGATCATCGTTTCAAACTTATGATCTGGTTCGGTGATGCCATCAGCAAGGCTAAATTGAACATGTTGGAATCACTCACAGGATATACACCGGAGGATTCGAGTGTGGGGGCTACACTTTCATGTCACTAGTAATTTCTCGATAGATTCATCTGCAACATGCTAAAAATTTTCATTTCAGCCCTCATCAGATCTTCATAAGTCCTCCCGGAAGTTCGGTCAACCCTGGGTCAAGCTGTCAGCTGATTGAAGACTGCACAAGGGTGCCGTGCATGAACTTACATCCATCAATATCCTCGTCAATGGTCCGTGGTACAGTGCATTTCATCGCTTCCTCAGTAGACTGATAGTCTAACACCGAACAAACATCTCCGGTACAGCGCGCATCCATCGCTCGCTGGAGCGAGTCGTCTTTCCAACCAAAGACGTAATCGCCGTGCTGGGTAAACCCATCTCTGTTGATGACAAAGTCAGATCTGGTGCGTTATACTTTGTATGCTAGAGATGTATAAGAGGCAGGAAGAGAAAGGCAAAAGGTGACTTACGCATCTCCAGTACTAAGCACAAAAGGCTGTGTTCCATCCTCAGGCCACAGCGCTTCGTCATTAAAGATCCTTGTATCCCACATAACCTCATACATAACCTGCGGTATAGCGACGGGATGACTTTCTGGACAATTTCCCGTGGGCCCAACGGCGGTATCTAGCGAGCCGTTTGCATAAGCTACATGGCTTTGGTGATCTGGACTGTCCAAATTGACACCATCCCAGCAAGTTGGAAAGGTAATGACAGAGCGTATTCCACCAGGACAGAAACCTTTGGGGAATGTCTGAGCATCCGGATCTACACAGTTAAGGCGATTTTCTTCGCCAACTTCTGGTAAACATCGGTAGCACACTTTGCGTGCAGAGGATACTTGGGTGGTCGCTGTTGCGTCGCCGATCAGCATACGAAATCCGGGACGGAAGGCAGTGACAGCCGTTTGGTTGTCCATGTCTGGTATATAGTATACGGTAATGCCTCCGTTACCCTTCAATCCTTCACTAGTGAATTGCGGAACACGTTTGTAGGTGCCATTGCGTGCACGAAAGTATAGGACTGCGGTCCAGTAGTTTGAGAAGTCTTCGGAGAAGGTGCAACTGGTACAAGTGGAAGAGTTGGCGAGGTCGTGTGTTACCGGTGGCATGGATGCAGTAAAGGAGTTTCCGCCAACGATTTGATGGAGATGTGGAGATGGGGCGACGTTGGGATTCACGAGGGGATCTAACCTCTCGACGACGAGTTGCGAACATTGGAAGCGTAGCATAGGTGGTCTGTCCAATGGGGATTGGCTCGAGGCATGACTAACCAAGAGTAGAAAGAAAGAGAGGGTTGTGCAGACTCTTGTGATCGCGAGGCGTACCATGATGATGGCGTAAGAAGAAAACACGGAGAAGCTAAAGGAGACACGGCATAATAGCCAAGTCGTATGTATACATGTCACCCTCGCCGATATTCTACACCCCTTGAGCTCAACCCACAATCAAATACTGTTGAGTGCGCAGTTAATCTAACGCTGATTGTAGTGGGGTCCGGGAGTTGCAAGCCCTGGGGTCAACTGAATGTTGTGCGACTTCAACCTACCGTTTCGGAACTCTGTCAGCATTGCACTCTACAATTCGCAGCATTGGTATGTGGGGCGTGAGCGGTACCATGCCTGTGAAACGATATGATGAGTAAATTTCAGTTGAAAGTGCCGCAGATATACACAATCCACACTGCATGATGGAAAGCCTCTCTACTTTGCCTAATGGATTTTCCATTCAATCCGACCAATCTCTCCTACATGATATTTCTGCAATGATGGGCTAAAGTGTAGGAGTGATAAAGCTCATCCTGTCATTGAACATTCTATCATCATGTCGAACCCCGTTCAGTGCCTGGCACAATATCATACTGTCGTTAAAGTCAAACATAAGCTAATTACCAGGTCAGCTGCAAATTCTAGATTGCGTACTAGAAGCTGTTGTTCGACTTGTACGATGGTGGCTCCTTATATCGTGGAAGCGTTTCAACAAGATTGCGAGCGCTCTCGTGTGTGTTTTTTGGACCATGGGCCCGTTGGTTTTGGCGATCACGGCAAGGGCGGCTATAGCACCAGCGGTAATGACAGCCAGTCGTGGCCGATCAGAATAGTGCGCGACAGTGTCAGCCTGTTCTTCGTGTTCAGCCATGGAGGGCGTAAGTTGTGGGTTCTCGGGGGACCGAGGTAGTGCTTGACATGCTACCACCACTGCCACTCTTCCTTCTTTTGTGGTGTTTTATAGAATCGGAACCGACGCTTGAACGGCGGTTGGCGGAGACTGGCTGCATAGGAAAATAGCCAGACTCGTCTTCGATGGCAAAGCGCACTGGTGTCCTCGCCCTGCTCTGCACCGGACTCATCCGGAACGCTTCTGAGCCGGCACTCCACCTCTGGCCTGGGCTCACGCCGCCTGTCAGGCTTCTAGCATGTCTCCTAGTAGGCGTCTCAGCAGGCAGTTGAAGCCTCGAGTTGATGCCCATCCACAGTGCCTCTTCGTCATCATCGCCAGACATCCTCCACCCGCCCACACCTTCGAAGTCGCGCGTCAACTCGCTTGTACCGATGAGCGCCGTGAGAGAGTTATTCTTGTGCTTCAGAAGACGCGACGTGTGTGCCGAATGTATGCCAGTGTCTTGTGAAGATGTCGTGCTGGCCGTGCTGGCCCGGCGATGGCGCTGTCGGGTCGGAGACTGTCGGGCGGATGAAGGCATGAGAGAGGAACGGCGAAGCGGCATGGGCTTCGGCGGCGAAGGGGAGAGCCATGCTCCAACGATGGCTACGGCAAGGCGGCAATACACGGCCAATGCGCGCAAGGAGAGCAGCGATATGGCGACTGACGTGGTGACGACGGCGAAGATGGCGAGCGGGATGGAGACGAACAGTAGTATCAGGGGCGTGAGGGCGTAGACTGGGTTCCACATGTTGAGCTCCACGCTGCATGAGCCCAGTCGAAGCAACATGGCGTCGACTCGTTGTCTTGTACAAGCAATGACGAACGTCTTCGCATGTGAAAGTTGCGGGGAAGCGCCAAGACCTAGGTAGGTAGCATCAACAGCGAGCGCGCCTCTCTCACTCAATTGCCACTGAACCGCCTTGCCGTGCTCCGTGCAGGCGTGATTCCGATGCCGATGAGAATTGCGCCCAGAGAGGTGCCTTTGAAGATGCCCTCGTACTGTTCAATCTTCAGACGCGTCGAGTAGGGCTGGCGTCTGATGCGAAGAAATGTCGCTCCTGTGACGGCAAGCCACGCACCGAAAAGAATCTCGTAACGATACTTTTCCACCACGGTTTCCGAGAAGTTACCAGGCATTGTACTGAGGCGGTCGACCAAAAGCAAAGGTGGAAAATGCAACCAAGGTTGCAGGATTGGGCGGGAGACGTCTTGTTAACTAGGACGAGCTTCATGACGTCGTCGGCACACCATCACGCGCTCGCCACCGCCATATGCATCACACCAGCCCTCAGACCACTACAATCCCACTGAAAAGCATCGTGCCCAGATTCACCATGGTTTTCGTAAATACAGCGCCATTTACTCTTTTCCTCTTACTAACCATACGTCTAAGACAAAACTTACCTACCATTGTCAATTTACTGTGCAGCCGTCGCATCGCTTTGTCCACGCTCACTTCCCCTTGTCTGGGCTTATCACGGGATTACCATCACTCTAACTACTCAACAGTCAAGGTCAGATCAACCATCATGAGTACGCTAGACAAGCCAGGTTCCAATCGCAGCCTAATCGTATAAATTCTCATTACTGTAATAGCAGTACTAATGGTGCTCGTCATCGCCTTTGTAAGCGGAACGGCCTGTGGAGGCTGAGTTGGGCATTTCATAGTAACGGCTTTGTTTCTTGATGCATTCTGCAAACAAAGGTAATTACTCGACTAACTACAGCAGTCGTCTCGCCTTGAACATGATACCGTTCAGTTATCTAGCTCGACGTCACCTCTAGAAATTCGAATTTTGCTTGAAACCATCATAATGTCAGCACCAAAACTCACATCAGGCGCAAACAAGACCACCTCGTTTGACACAGATATTGGATCCCTGCCTTCAACATCCGACGACTTCCAACCTCGAGTCATATCCGAACGAACATTCATTATCGTCACTTCCGTGCTAGCTGCCACACTCATCTTGACCATCCTTATTGGATGCGTACACTTCATTCGCCGACGACACCGGCGGCAACATGGCAAGAATCGCGAACAACAAGATATTGAACAAAGTCTACAACGAGCTCGGAGGCCAATACTCACCATAGATACTGATCTATCACACGCAAAAGATTTGACTAGGCCTGCAATCAGAGCCACCTTACCGTATTTGCCCGGGTACAGTGAGGTACCATCTGCGCCGTTGGTTCAGGTCAGGACTGCTCCTCCAAGCATCTACAGCTCTGGAATGAGTGCTTTCGGCCCAGTAAGATTCCATAGCGCCAGCAGAAATTCTTTAAACTCACATCTGCCTGGTGTCTCTGGCAGGAATACGATAATGCCTGTGCATCAGGGCACTACATTCCAAGAGATGAACTTCAGAGAGTGCACGCAGACCCATAACCCGTATGATATGGGACTCGACCGCTACACGTAGATCAGTGGGATTATTCTACAAGTCGGCTGCTGATAGCACTTTGTGTGCTCACTTCCCTTGATTCCCTACACATTGTTGTTGTTCCTAACCTCGACTACAACTTATCTTCAAATTCTCCCCCGGACTATCAATACTTTTACGACAGCTGAATTCGTAGACCCAGCTCTTCTCAAAAACAATATTTACATATGACGTTAACTTATCCGGATATTGTGGCTACTGTGTCGGGCGCACTGCTATTAGTCATCGGTTTAATCTGGTACTTCGTCCGCCCAGTCAGCCGATTCACCTTTTCACGTCGGAGATGTCCATTGGCTATACGAGACGAAGAGAATCAACTATTTTTCACATCCAGTAATCGCCTCTCCAGTATCAGTACTTTCGAAACTATTGGTAATCTCACAATCTCTCCAGATCGCCGCCCTCTTCCCTCAGCACTAGACATCATCAATCATGTAGGGATGGCTATTGGTCTACCAGCAAGCGCAAAGCCAGTGAGATTGAAAGACGTTCCAAGGGTATCCTTACATCTACCGCCTGTGACGCCTATGACCCCGACAACAAAAGTCAACATCGTTATGATGGAAGCTGAAGCCAAAGCTGGATCCCTCCACACCAACAGCGATGCTATGCTCAACACAGCTACCTCGGGTCGAGCATATTTTGTACATCTTGGAACTGCTCCTCAAGCACGGAACATCGAGAACCAAGCTGATGTTACTTCGCGACGTGGGGAACCTACTATTGCCATGAAAAATCATAACTTCGACCTTGGTCTGGAGACCTGTTTGGATGAGCCCTTGGGGGAAATCCAGGATGTCTTTGTCATTGGTCATGATGACGATAATGAGCCTGAACAAGTTAATCTTGCTGATTACAAGATGGCTTATGGCTTTGGATCAGGTAGATCTATGGCAGCGCTCTATCATGCGGTGTAAGTTAGAATATACAAGCGTAACATCACAACACTAGGAGCTTTTGCAATGATTCGCTGCCTATTTATTTGACGTTTTTTATGTCGTTGAGAGGTATTTTGAACAATCCTCGCAGGAAATGTCTGTATTGTCACAACCTCTTTCTTGGCCCGTGGCGTGTGCCTGTTTCTCGCTACCTCTTTGATGAATTGTGTGACATTAAAGAAGACGCCATGAGCGCTCGGCAAGTGTTCCAGCCCACCCAGACATAACTTCCAGTCGCGAATATCTGGTCTAGTTATCCGCCTCAGTGAAAACAAGATGCGAGCTGCTGGAGGCAAAGCCCTCCAAAAACAGGGCTGGGATACGGAGAGATGCTTGGCGATAGATCTGGGCCATGCTGGTTCGGGGAAAAACCGGTGCGCTTAGTCAGCCAGTGCTCGACGCGTTGACGCGTTGACGCGTCTATCTCTCCAGCCACCACTTGTTCTTTTTATTTCTCCATGGTCCTCTTTCGATTACTATCTGCTCCAACGCGGTCATGGTGATCCCCTCCGTGCACTTGGACCCGCACTCGATAAGACTTGGTCTGCATACAAATCTCACTTGGCGTGCGTAACAGAGAATTGTTCAGCACTGCGGCTTCATACCAGCTGTCCCTGTGCTTGTCATAGAGAGTGCGGAGTCGGTACGCGTGCCATGAATTCAAATTCAATACCTGATGATGCTTTACGCATCCTTATCGATGAGCGCACAATTAGCGTTGGAGCCTCGAAAGGTATCCTGGCTCCAGCCCGCAGTTTTCGGATGCATGCGCTTCTGGATCCCGATAACCGCCACTCCCGTTTTTCAGGCACTGTTCGCATTTGTACTTTGGAGAGCCATGTACAATTTGTTGTCACAGCTTTGGCATTGTTCAATATCACTGGCTGGTGTCTCCAAAGATCATGTTTCAAGATCGTCGCATCACCGGAAGGCCCGTCGCGGGATGATCACATCTGCTAGGACAACCCGGGAGACAGGTGAGGCTCCTCTACGAAGCTGTTTTACCGTTCCTTCAGCACCCTGTGAACCTTGGAGACATGGTCATAGCTGTGATTGGGTTGTTCGACCATGATGGTTCATAATTGACACCTACTTAGAATATTATCGTCCCTAGTATGTCTCCAGCGTTCACCGAAATCGTATTCCCGTCCGCCTCAGCCAGTCTTTGCAGAACATTGTAATGCAGAAAAGAGGCTCCGACACAGAATGCGCGTTCCTGACATGCCGCACGCGCGACATGGAGCTGGCGTGTTTCTAGCGTTTCTAGTTCCACGTCTAGGATGTTTCGAAAACGCCTTCCTGGACAGCATTACCATGTCGGCCGTGCTCGACATATAGCATCGTTGTGGCTCTTGGCTGATGGCCTACTTCTGTTCTTTCAAGTGAGCGTTGTGGCAGGCCACCGCCATTGACACTTTCGCGCTTTGGTTCCTTTTTGTACATGTCGTTGAGATACCCCACTACTATCTTGTAATAATGTTTTCGTTTGCTTCTGGAAGGCCGGTCTGGCACCTGCTAGCATGTTTTGCGACACTCTTTATGCTTTATTCGTCGGCTGCCTTCTGGTTCAGCACGCAGATAACGATCGCGAGCGAGCGATATCCAGACAGTCTCACGGCGATCTTCACGCCTCAAACTATCGATGCGCTCAACCAAGACGTACGCTTACATGACGCACTGCTGTCGCTCACGGACGCTATTGCATACTCGTCCAGTGATATCGGTAGACGATTTCGCTTGGAAAGTCTGAAAAGTTTCGGGTCCAATCTAACGGACGGAGTCAACAACCTTCGCAATAAGCATCGGCTAGAGTTAAAAAGGCGGGATCTGAAAGATGACCTAAGCGGGGCCTTCCGAGATTTGACAGGTGGTGCTGTTAGCATAGGCGGGTTGAATATGACAGGTGGGCTGACGGGTGTGCTGGGCAGTCTAGGAGACTTGATGGTTGGCTCACTTGGAACGCCTGCTTTGTTTCTGGGTATCGGTCTAGGGTACGTATGCGTCCAGATCATTGAGTAAGACTGACCATCTACAGCATGGGTACAACGACTGCTCTCAATCTGACCAACATAGACGAAGCCAACGCGATAGCTTCGAACATTGCAACCGCATACAACGCTTCAGCAACAGGTGCGAACCTTGCTGCTCAACAACTCGGCAGCGGGCTATCTAGACAGATTACTCCCTCGTTCGGCAGCAACAACATCTCTCTTGGTCCTGCGGCTTTTGCGCTAGCATCTGGTATCGGAAATGCAACTGCAGTGGGCTTTGGATTGACACAGCAACGATTTACGCCATCGACAGACTCGAGCATTGAGGGCGTAGCTGGAAATCTCGGTCTTGGAGTTGCTATGCCCATCATATCCAACCTTGATCTTCAAGCCATGGTTAGGAGCTTGAGGAATAGCTCTAGTTTCTCCATGCTGACACAAAAGCTTCCTGAGCTTGCTGCTGCTGCTGGGCTAGGTATAGGAGAGGGCGCAAGGAACGGCCTGGGGTTAACCGCGTCGAAGTCGCCAGCGCCCGAAAACCGGAAGCGACAATTAGAGAATACTGTCATGGAAACGACGGACTTTCCTAGAACTGTGCAAGCTTTCGCCAGAGGCCTCAGTCAATCGTTCATCCAAGACAGCAACTTTTCAACCTTCAGCGTTGGAACTATCACGGTTTTTCCTAACCAAACCGAGCTTCAGGGCATGCTGCGGCCTATAGCAGCAGGAGCTGGTGCAGGTATAGGCATGGGGGTCGCCATCGGGTTGAACTTCAAGCCTGCAGACTCGAAACCGATACTGGGTGGTAACATCACTGGGGATGATGAGCAGACAGCTTTGACCGCAGAAAGTTTCACGCAAAACATCTTCTCTAACCTCCTTACAAATAGCTCGGCTATTCAGCAAGCCAAACAGTTCATAGCGAGCAATCCGCCTCAGGCGTTCCAGAACATAGATGGCGCCAAGGCGGCGGAAGGCTTCGCTAGAGGTACCATTGAAGGAGTTGTAAGCGCGATGTACTCTGTCGGAGGAGTGAAGAACTTGATAAGTGGCAATGTCCCGAAAACCGCATACGACGAAGTGCCAGTCCTGGCGCCGACACAGTTCAACGACAGTGTAAATGGCTCGGCTGTGGGCTTTGCACGAGGTCTTACTGGCAAGGCGACGATCCTGATTGCTGAGATTGCCAGAAATCTCACGCAAGGCATGCCGAAATCCGAGACACGTTCATCACGTACAAGAAGTATCGAAGAAGCACATGAGGATCTCAGTGTAGGTAAGATATTGCCATCCAATGCCTTGTTGCGCACTCTGATACGTTGCAGTGACATACAGCCCACTTTCCGTCCGCCAGGCCGAAGCGCAAGCTAAATTCCCTATTGCTATCGACGCAGAGACAGCACAGATGGGCGCTCAGAAAGTGATCGAGACCTTCACATGCTCAGGAATTGGTGGTATTGCAGCAGCAGCTTTGGGTGCTATGACTGCGGCCAAAGCGAATGCTAGTATGATGAGTATGGCAATGGGCCAAGCTGGTCCACCTCTCGACTCGACGGTTCTGCAAGCCTTACCTCGAGGTCCTATCGTCCTTTCATCGGAGGGAAATATGTTCGAGATTGTCATTGAGAGTCAAAGTCTCAAGATAAATGAGTTAGCGCTCATTCCCTTTGCAGTCATCACAGGACTACACGGTAAGCTATGGGACAATTTTCATGTGTCATCTCGAACTTTGCAACTAACCTATGCGTATAGTACTATTTGCTGGTCTCGCTTTCCTTACATTCCTTCCACTATACCTTGTCTTGGGAGTAGTCTGGCGATTCTCGGTCCTCACCGGCTACCCAGTGGACGAAGCTAAGAACAGGAAATGGCGCATGGGGTTCTTGATCACGTTCGCTGTCCTGGGCGTGGTTGGTATTATCCTTGGTATTGCTGGTATGGGAAGTGCAAGTCATTTCCGAGATACACATGGGGTAAGCTCCTTGTACTGATATACTTTGAGAGATCTGAACTCATCCTTACCTACAGATCATGGGTCTCGTCTGTCTCATCTTCATCTTCCCGGCAGTTGGCTTTACCGTCGTTCGCTTACGAACCGAGCTCCCGCACCCTGACCCTTCGACATTCGCCGGCGTAAAAGGTCCTATAGCGCTTGCCAAGACGCCGCAACGCATCTACCTCATTAGCGGTATCAGTACCCAACTCTTATTAGGCCTTGGCCAGTTCACCTTCTTGCAAGGCTTTTCTACGCTGCGCGCAATATCACTTTGCATCGTCGACGCGGTTCTCACCTCCACAAGTGTTGCTGGTCTTGTGAGCTTCGTTCTGATGATACAGATCAGTGCTACAGCGTTAGTTGGCATCAGAGCATGGCTAGAACAGCATGTCGCCAAGAAAGAAGCATCAGGTATCAAACCAATGACCGCTACTGGTTTTGGAAGTCATGGACGGAGCGACACAATAGCCACATTTGGTTTCGATCGGAAAGATCCACCACCCGCTCTCAACTTCAAATCCAATAAATCGAAGCTTCCACAGAGAAAGACGGATGAACTCAAGGGCTCTGAAGATAATGGCATCAGCACACCGTTCAACTTCCGGAAAGAAGGTAGCATGACTGAGATGGATACACGAGAAGACCCTTTCCTGTCACCAGAAGAGCGACTCAACTACCAAGAGCGAGGTATCTATAACCCCAAGACGGGAGGCTACACCTATCCGGCCCAGGGCATGAACAACGATGACTTCTACAATATGTCAGCGACTTATGGAGAACGCCGCCCATCATCAGGCGTATTTGATCCCTTGCGATCTCCTCGTCCCCCAATCGCAGCAGACAACGGGCCAAGAATGACGGGTGTTACAGTACAGGATCTATGGCCTCCGCCAATGCCGGAAGCGTCGAGAATGTACATGACCTCGAAGACTCAAACGACTGTCAGTAGTAGGTACAGCAGGCCGATAGATGGGAATGTGCCGGTAAGGGATAGCTTCATGGGTTTTGGGAACCGGTAAATAGAACGCAGAACTTCTGAAGCAATACAGAGTCGTACATAAACCTTGGAGTATGATAGAGAAACACGAATGAATGCTGTACATATATACACTGAGATGTGCGTGGGGGTGAGCTCAAGTATGAAACTTCATGCTGACGTTCGTTGATCGTACTAGCGGTCAATTCGAGATGCCACTGTAGACCGATACGGGGCATCTAGAGTATACAATCTTAATATTCCCGAACCCTCAGTTCTGTTCGTCGAAAACATTCTTTCTATTATCCAGATCTTCACAGGAGTTAAGAGCGATTATGTACAGTAGCTATTACTGCGGAAGCGTCCTTTTGCACTAGCTACATGGGCGCAAAAGGAGCACATAATATGCTGGAGTGTAGCAAGAACTCTGTGGCAATGAATTGTCGTAACATGGCTCTATGCATCCAAGATCTTGAGCATCTCTTCAACGCTCTGGAACTTCTCTCTCTCCTTGCCTTTACTCTTGCCTCTGGCTCGTTCAGCATGGTCGATTTTCTTCCAATCCGACCAAGCTAGCGGTCTCACGCTTGTCACGATATCCTTGATACCATCCCAGCCAAGACCTGTGCTTCTGTTGTCGCCACTGGTGTCATTCAAGAACGGTACGTTGGCCTCCCAATCTTGCGCAATGATGTCTGCAGACGAAAAGGCGTCTTGCATAGTACTGGCGATGACACCAGTAGGTCCACGCTTTACCCAGCCTGCACAGTATAGCCCATGGACATGGCCAGCTGTCAGATTGCCGGGCCCTGCGGATGGCGTGATGACACGGCCGTGCATGTCATTGGGTATTATTCCAAGTTTGTCGTCGAAGGGTACGCCAATGTCAGAAAGACCAGGCAGGCCGGTTGATTTGTAACCCACGGATCTGAATGCTAGCGACGCTTCCATGGATGTCTCTTCATTTGTAGGTGTGACGCGGGCACGTTGGTCGAAGGGGTCGGCGTCGGGGACGAACCGTTGCTTCGTAAAGGCGATGGATGAGAGTTGGCCAGCGTCTGCGTGCATGGACTTGGGTGCTTGCATGAACTTGAGAGCCCATGATCGTGCAGTCTCTTCCTTGGTTGCCTTGCTACCCTTGAGTAGAACCTCCGCTATTCGTTTCTGTACGCGAGGCAGCTTCTTGATCTCGGATGGATACAAGGAGCGGTCGATGGGGTCGAAGGCGACGGAAGGGATATTCATCAGCTCGCGAGCTTCTTTGACAGTGAATGCAGCCTGACTTCAGGTAAGCGATATGTTCAAGTAGGATCATCGTGAGACGTACCTGGATTGGCCCACGCCGGCCAACCACCCTTACAGAGCGCACCCTGTTCTCTGAAAGAGTTTGTATAGCCTGCTCGGATATGTCGGTATGCCGTAAGCTATCGACAGGGCTCAGCAGTATACGCGCGACATCGAGCGCGACATTGCCCTGGCCTATGACGACTGCCTGCTCGCCAGCTTGGAGGTTGGGCTTCAGACTTGCAAACTGTGGCAGAGCATTGTACCATCCCACGAAAGACCTAGCCGAGTACACACCCGGCAGATCTTCACCAGGTATCCCCAGCTGTCTGTCCTCACTTGCGCCATAGGAGAAGAGTATCGCGTCGTAGTGGGGTTTCATTTTGGCCAATTCGATATCATATCCCACCCTGACATTGCCGATGTAGTTGAATCGCGGCGATTGCGCTACCTCTTCGAACGTGTCCTGGCAGTTCTTGACCTCGGGGTGGTCGGGTGCGACGCCATAGCGGACGAGTCCATAAGGTACCGGAAGTTGCTCGTACATGTCAACCACGGCATCTTGGTTCTTGCTCATGAGTCGGTACGCCGTGTAGAAGCCTGCAGGTCCAGAGCCAATGATGGCGACGCGGAGGCGCCCCCGAACAGTCGCGGCTGTGCTGAATGCATTGCGAAGTGGTTGTCGTGATAAGGATGCGATGTTGAACGGAAACGTGCCTGATGGTCCTTGTCGAATCGTGCTGATCCCTCTCAAATGCCCGGCAGTACCATGGTAGTGTCTTATCTGAGCCGACGCGCTTGCTATACGCTGAGTGCAGCTAGCGCAGACATACGGCGTCTTCTGTAGGCGCAGGCTGAGGTGCATGTTGTGAAGGTCCTTGCATTTGATAGCGGCAATCGCCGCCCGAGCATTCTCGAGATGACTAAGGTCCCGACGCTTGAAGCCTCTGGACTCCAACCACACCATGTACACGCACGACCATCGCATCCGCCTCGAAACCATAAGCAGGAGGCGCACGCGTCTGGCTAACCTCTCTCGTTCTACTCGGATGGCGTTTGCGACAATATCCGGCCTGGTTATCCGCCCAACGTGCCGTTGATGCGCCCAAGCTGGACGAACAAAGTAAAACTAACCACAATTCCCTGCTGCAACTCATCGGGCCCCCACATGTTCCTGGCTAATTCAAGTTTCAGCCGCTCGTGGCCATCACTAGTCAATGCACATGTCCGTCCCAGCCGTGCATCCTCACGTCATGAGGCGTTCTGGATTTGCATTGGTCAATATTGATTGTTGTCATGACAACCCGGTATTTACATACATATCTCCCCAGGTCCCCGCGTGGGCCCATGTCATCCATCAACTAGCATCTGCATTCCTTTGCTATAAGCGAGAAGATATCTCTCACCTTCTGTCCAGACGGTCGTGTGCAGTAGAACTTCCTTCTTTACTTCTCGCTCTCCATCGCAACTATGGCGGGCCGCTGGCAGCCCCACATGTATGCATCCTCAAGGGATTCCATGATTGACACCGACCCTACTCGGCCGACTTTCAACCCCAAGGCCATTACCATGGCCAGTCGCATGCCGCCTCCACCGCCCAAGAAGAAGCAGGAAGGCCCTTTGATCGACTTCAACAAACACCCGGACAGCTACCTCATTCTTCCCTACGGTAACACAAAGACGAAGCCAATGAGCCCCAAGACCAAGGTCTTCATCGACATTGCACGATGGATCCAGTTCGGTCTTAGGATACTGACTCTCCTTGGTGCTGTCGGAGTCTTGCTTTGCGGCATCTTCATCCGGGGCGCTCAGGCCACAGAAGGCTACATACTGAGGATACCGGTAAGCACGTTCTGATCAACGTGCAAATGGGTCGCTAACATGGACAGCCTGGTGTGGACCTCGTCGTTTCTCTATACGCCATATACCACCTAATCCGTAATCCCAAGACGCGACCAGCGGGTAGCTCAGCCAGCTACCACTTCTTTGCTCTTATCACCGACGCTGGCTTCATCCCGTTCTATGTCTTCACCATCCTCATGGCTCGCCGTAACTCCGATGAAACGGCTGCAACAATTGGGCGTTGGCGCACTATGTTTCCTACAGACAATGAGACGAACATAGTTCTGATGACAACATGGATCACAGCCATTGTCACTGGAGGTTTACATCTGATCTCAGCCGTCATTGACATGTACCTGGCTATCCTGTTCCGAAAGATCGCAAAGCTGCCACCGGACATGAACCCACTTGAGGACAACTTGACCTCGCGTAGGAGGACCAAGCACAAGCACAAGAATTCTTCCATCTCCGCCATCACACCTCTTACCTCGGATCAGGAAAAGCGATTCAGCGATCAGAGCACTATTTCTGGAGATCGCGATTCGAAAACTCCTTCGTACATCTACAGCGAAATCCCAAGCCCCAACAAAAGTCAAGTTGCTTTCATGCACACGCGAACAGACTCGGAGACCACATACTCCCCTCATACGCCTGCTTCGGCGCGCCAATCCAGGGAGCGTTTTTCCATGTACTCTCAGCCTCCATCCGCATACCAGTCCCGCAAAGAGCTCAACACTCGTGAAGACCTGCTTAGCCAGGATGAAGATAACCAGACACTGGCTCAACGCAAGTCTATGCTCTCTCAGCAAGCTAATATCAAGCGACACTCCCGAACCGACTCGTACATCAACAGCTCGTCGAAACAAGACTTCCACAGTCGTCCGGCCACCGCACGGTCTTTGAAACAAGAAGCGTCCGGCGATCTTTCTCTTCAGCGAAACTCCCAACAAAGCCTCAAGAATGACAATTGGTTCGTGCATCCTGATCAGGAAGACGAGTACGACGACAATCACCTATCTCCACCGCCCAAACAGTCAATGTTCTCGACGAATGGTAAAAATGGCTACAATACTATCTCACGTTATGAAGACGTCTCTGACATGGAGGACGAAGCCGAGGTACCCATGGTTCCCGAACCTCTGCGTATGAACCCTCTCAGCCAGAACCCGCCCTCTCCTCTACCCTCTCCCCCACCGGCCGACGCCTTCGAGGAGAACAACCAAAAGAGCACGCCCCCGCCAGCCGGTCTTCAGCGTACCTTGACCACGACATCAATCTCCACCGAAAAGACCTTCGATCGCTCGCATTCCCGTTCCGGTACACCGAAATCGCGCTACTACGGTAACCTCAAAGCTGCAACTGAAGGTGTCCGAAGTGCAAACTCGCCCTCAAACTCTCCGTCCAGCTCCCCAACAAAGGGGTCTTCTTTCCGCCAACAGCCAAACCAGTTCCCCAGCGCAACCAAGCAGTACGCTGTCAACACTCCTCCGCCTGTTCCGCAGCATAATTTGACCAACTCGCCATTTACTCTTCACAAGAAGAGTTACACGAGTATCAAGCGCACCGGAGAGGCGAACTACACTCCTGTCAAGGGACAGTCACCGCGAGTGATCAGCCGGTCTGGTGTAGATTACATCAACCCATACGAGTTTGACGACTCAGACCTGGGTATGCCAGGGCGGAGGAGGGATGTCAGTGGGAAGATTGCTGAAGAGGGACGCGGTGGTGCGTGGGGCGGAATGAAGCAAAGGACTGTCAGTGGTGTCGCGCAGGCTTATTAGGTTTCTGTTTTCTTACTAGGGGGCGTTGGACGGCATCTGAAAATTCTTTGGACCAAGGTATATAAATATGACTGGGTGTATGGTTATTGTCAAGGGTATCGGGTCGGGACTTGGGGCTTAGCATGAGTATGTAGCACGTTCTGGATGACTGGAAATGATGATATGGATTCTGTCTGCCACATTGGCTCAATCACCGTTGCCTCCATGAACTCCTGCAACCTATGTGACGGTTTTTGTATGCTGCAATGTAATGAAATTGAAAATCTTGTGGCATAAGACGTAACACGATTCCTCATGCCGTGCTATCGACGTCATATTCAACATCCGTTCTAATCACATACTTTGCGCCTTCAACAACTCCAGTGCCCTCATGAAGGATTGCGCCTTGGGCTTCGCCGTGCGGGAATACTGCAACACTACCCATGATAGGTTTGACTGGGTAGGCGTTGATAACACCTTCCTTGACACTTGGAATGAAGAAAGTCGTTTCGCCACCCTTGAACTCATCGTTAAGGTAGATAAGGAACGTGAAGAGAGAGGATTGGCGAGCGTTGGCCGGTGATGCATCATACTGATAGGCATCAGTGACAGGGTCGATACCAGAAGGTGGCCATGCGCCGTCTATTGAAGTCAACGAATATACTCGAGTTGATTTCGATGAATCACCTACCAATATGCATGCGATATTCCGCACCAGGCACATATCTATACACTCTGAAGCGTCGGTTAATACCTCGCACTTTCTTGCCAGCCACGCTCTCCGGCACAAAGCCCTTCACTCTGTCCCAGAGCTTGTCGTGGAAGGCTTGGTCGACGATCCAGTAGAAGTTGTGTGCTAGCACACTCGTATCTTCACCTTGAGGTCGCATCGGGGCATCTGGTATGAACTCTATAGTTTCTCCAGCCGCGATGATAGCGGAGCATTCTTCTGGAGAAAGCACGTCCTTGATCAGGCGAAGATTAGGCACAATTGGGTGCTTGAAACACTCTGTTTTGGGTCCTTTGCCAAGCAGCACAGCGTCGTCTTGGGAAGCGTACAAGATCGCGGGATGAAGATTCGGCGGTTTGCGCTGGAGTCCAGGTGTGGTTTCGATAATGCGAAAGCGGTTTTTAAGATCCGGGGAGCATGACTTGAAGATGCTCTTGTCCTCAACGCTTCGCCTTATCCGACGAGTAGGCTTGTTGGTACCTCGCAGATCCCAAGTGTCTTGTAATGAGATGCCTGATGCGATGTCTGTGCCATGAGCTGTTGAGTCCGTCGGACCCGTGACTCTTAGAATTGAATCCAACACTCCGACTAACTCGTCATTTTGCGCATTCTTACCAACCACTTCGTGACTAGGGACCTGCACATGAATCGAGAGCCCGGAAACAACGTCCAGAGTACGTACCCATCGACAAAGAGCGCCCAGCGTCGGAGTCTCTTTTCGAATCTTCATTTCCGCTAATAAGATCAGGGCTTCCGTGTATTTGGCGTCTGTAAGTGCACCTGATATGCGCGCAGTGAGGTTGCTGCCATCTACTCTCACACTTAGTTTTTGGTTCCGAAGCTCAAGATATCAGACGTACCAGCCGAGTTCAGGCCAGTAGTACATGCTTGACGAAAATCGTATACGGCAGTCCTAAGGTCCTTGCACGCTTTTGACTTGATCAGGAGCGGATGCGCAGATAAAGTCTGTAGTGTCTCTATAGCGACCTCAATCTCTTCAGACGAGATTATAGAGTGTACGCTTGCTGGTTCGAGTGGATTCGCCTCTTGTGGTGGACTTGGGATGCCCGCTGTGGATTGCTTCTTCACGACCTGAGCTTGCGCATTTGCGCTGCGCTTCCGCTTGGCCATGCTCGGTGCTCAGAGTATTGGTTGTTCAATCAGAAACCGAACAAGGTATGCACCGAAGATGTGTAAGCTATTACTGTATCGGATGCGATGTAGTCCGGCTTGTCCATATGTACGCGCCGAGGTCTGTGGTGGCGAGTGTAGAATTTCCGCGGTCCGTGCGCAGATGTCCTGCAGTGCTAGTGCGGAAAGGCCCGCCCTCCGGTCTCACCACCTCAGGCTACATACAATTAAGTTACGCTTCATGTTATCTCGCCCAGGTCTCAAAGACACCATATGTCGATGTTCATGTCGTTTACTCGGTCTCAGACTTAACAGGTATTGACTTCGAGAGACACTATGTAGGCCTTCATTACCGGTTTACACCGCTATAGTACTAGGTAGGCTAAAGAGCTGAGCCCACTCGGGCATACCGCGGCGATATGCATTCTATGGGTCTGAGACGAGATCAACGGATCGGGTTTAACAACAAACAATGGGCCGGCATCCAATACGAGGATCGAGGGGTAAATAATATGCCGACGTGTAACGCGAGGAGCGAGTGGTGTAGGGCAAAGTCTACGGGTATATACAAATAGCTCGGGCGATCGCCCTTTCTTCTTTTTCTAGTATCCACCTCTACAAGTCTTTAAGCGTACTTCAACCGTTTACATACCCCTCCAAACTTTGCAACCCCTCCTACTCTTACACGTCCCCCACGTAATCTACAAACTTTAGCCAAGATGTCTACATACTCCTTCTACCAGGCCACCATCCCTCAACTTCGCGGCACTGCCAAGAGCGCCGTCAGCTTCCTCACAGCAGCCAAAGATGAGCAGTCAAAGAACACCTCGCTGCCCTCTGGCGCAGACGTACTGAACGCACAGATCGGTGACATGCTTCCCCTACGCATGCAACCCATTCTCGTCGCCAAGTTCTCTCTCGAAGGCATCGACCAGCACAAGCTCAGCTCGGCTTCTTCCCCGAGCATGGACCCTTCTTCCTTCTCGTCCATTGACGATCTCATCAACTTCTTCAAGCAGCTCATTGCTGTCTATGATGCTGTCGATGAGAAGGCTTTCAGCGAGAGTGCCGACAAGGGCCTCGAAGTCAGTGTTGCTGGCAAGTCACTGAAGATGACTAGCACGGCTGATTTCTACAACAGCTTCGCTGTACCGAACGGTAAGTCGTGTTCCCGTGTTAGCTGCGCGTAGGCTGAATGCTGACATGGATCAGGTTATTTCCACCTGAACGCTATGTACATGCTGTTGAGAAGCAAGGGTTTCACTCTTGGCAAGGGAACCTACGTCAAACCTTTCTTCAGCGAGCAGGCTGCTAAGGACTGGGCGCCACTCATGGGTTAGAGGAGGAGCGATTGTATACTATCATCTGCTTGGATATCATCTAGCAAGTGACGTAGCATGTCCTGAAGTCAGATCTGAACAGAGATGGGATAAAATGGACACTCTAGGTGAAAGTCCCAAACACATAGATTTGACCACGGGTAGAGCAGGTTGTACGCGTGTGTTTAACGTATGGAAGAGTCACATGAACTGGAGAGTGTTGTTGAGAACCTTTGTTGGCCTGCAGTACAAGTCCCTGGATGGTTCTCAAAACTAGCCTACTTGTCGAAAGCATCTCTCAGCTCTTCGAAGTGTGCCCTCGTTTCCTCCCCAAGTTTTCCTTCAACATCTGCCAAGATCGTACATACCAAGCTATAGTTGTTGCACAAGAAACGTTCTCTCTTCCGTGCGTCGCTAGTACCCTTGCTCAGTTTCGTAAGATAGGCCTCGTACTCACTTCTCAGTCTACCCACAGATACGCTGACAGGTTCATCATCGCCTGCTTCCGACGAGAGGGCCAATATGCCTTGGAGTAGGTTTGCAAATTTCTGTGTGAGAGGTGTTGGCGCAGTAGAGGTTGCATTGGACGAGCTAGAGCCAAGCAACGCAGCCCCGGTTGACGGGCGGCCTGGCAGAGACGCTGTGACTTTCTGGAGCGACGTGCAGTGCATGTCCAGAACCTGCTGGAACCGTGGCCATAGCAGCATGTTTGTCGCGTTGATGTAACCTTCGACTGTGGGAACCTTCCTGCGTTGGAGTTCGAATGCAAAGTGCTGGTTTAGTCGTACGCAAAGCAGTATCCCAAGTGTATCCGTTGTTGCTTCCACAAGCGATTTTGTAACCGCTTGCCCAACTGCTAGCGTAGGCTCGAAGATTGAGTTGAAGGTCCGCGAGATCGCATGGAAATTTTGCGATGGAGCGAAGTATGTAGAAATGAAGGTATACTCGAAGCATGCATTGTCGATGAGTGCGAGGTTAAAGCTGCGGAAAGGCACCTCCAAATAGTGGGGTGATTTTTCATCTTCGGCGACATTGGCTGGTAAGGCATTGACGGAAGAGCTCTTCAGTGCATCGCGGCGTCGTCCGAGTGAGAAAGCGTCGTAGGCAACTGGTGCGTTTCGAGACTGACCGAGCAAAGTTCCAGTCCTTCTAGCGCTGGGATCTTCACCCAGTACGTCGTACCTATCCATGGCGTGTACCTTGATCTTCTCAAGCGCTGATCTGTATCGGCTGAAATGATTGAGATAGTACCAGCGCATGGTATATATGTATGCCTGTGCTATCTGTTGTGCAAGCTCTGCCTGATGTTTCGCCAGGAAAGAATACAAGTCTTTGTATTTCAGGAATGCTTGCTGCTGGATAATCTGCGCATTGATAGAAGGTGAGCGAATGGCCTTGATCTGAGCAACTATATAGTCTCGTATTCGTTCGATTGCGCGATTTATGAGACCGTCTAGCAATGGTTTAACGTCCTTTATGGCTGCCAACTCTGGGTTCTCTTTGGCTTTATCGTTGACCGCCTTGGACCGCTTCTCGACCTCTGTAAGGGCGCGCACAAAACCCTCGTCGACCGGGCCTTCGGCGATCTTGCGCACGACGGCTGGTGATATACTGATGTCTTCCACCGCCGGTCCCAGAAGCTTCTCAACCACCTTACGGTTTTCCAGCTTGGTGTTCAAGGCAATAGATCGGTTCTGGAGTGATTCTATCTCGGCAGAAACGGCCTCGAGATCGGACTGAAAGTTGGTCAGGTTTGCCTCGACCGACTTGAGTACCTCGTCGCACGCCAATATAGATTTGTGCAGGTCCTCAAACTTGTCTTTGTCTTTGTCATCTGCAGACACAATGAGCAAAGACTTGCGACCCTGAACATGAACACGTACATTCTTCGACTGACTGCGTACTATATGTATGTACAGAAGTGGGTTGCTGTCGTTCTGCAGTCTTGACCGCTACGAAATCGTGCAAGCTCAATTCCCCAAATTCAATATCTTCCTCTACCTCGTCAGGCTTTCCAGATATACGCGCTACCTCTTCCCCATTCGTCGCAGACGAGTTGCGTGGTAGCCCTCCCATGATGGACTCTAACACGTGTATGGGATCTGGCACGTTGGGAGGGATGCCGCCTGTCTGCCGCCTACGAAGTCCTCCATTTGGCATACGCGCGGATAGAGGCAGGCTCGCAGTCGACGCATTGGGCGATACGAGGGGTGTCAGCGAAGACGATCGTGGATTGAGCCCCGGTCTGACGGGTTGCGCCGGAGCTGGGTAGCCCCTTCGAGGAGCTGGCGAGTGGGAATCGCGTCGCGGAGGCGGCATGCCGGCGGGTGTCGAGTACGACGAGAGCCTATCCAAGCCCCACATGATATCTACCAAGTCGCAGTCAGTCGCTTATGAATCAGGTACTAGATGTTGGCGTCGTGGAAGATGGCAGGGCACCTTGGATTCACATAAGGACGCCGGCGATTGTTTAATCCGCGAACTAGACAGGGATCTGCTAGCGCCACCTTCCCCTCCGCGCCTGCCCAATTTTGCCCACGCAAAAGACTTCTCTCTCCATCTCCCATTTAAGGACTCTGCCCACCCCACCGCTCTTCGACCAGCAGCCCGAACTCGAACTCTTCCTCACCGTCGCATCCAACTCTCATTCATCACCATGGCGGACAACGACGCGCAGGTACGTTTCCGCGGATACTAGCCCCGCATGTGCTCTTTACCCCACCCTTCGGAGCACTGTCGCCAGCTGCGACCAGGCGACTTCCACGTTCGCGCCTCTTCGTCACGCCCTGTACTGACTCTATCGTCTCTAGCATGAGCACACCTTCGACAGCGCCGATGCGGGTGCCTCTCTTACCTACCCCATGCAGTGTTCTGCCTTGAGAAAGAACGGTTTCGTCTGCATCAAGAACCGCCCTTGCAAGATTGTCGAGATGACCACCTCCAAGACCGGAAAGCACGGTCACGCCAAGGTCCATTTGGTCGCCATCGACATCTTCACCCAGAAGAAGTTGGAAGATCTCTGCCCTTCCACCCACAACATGGACGTTCCTAACGTCACCCGTCGCGAGTACCAGCTTGTAAGTGGCTCCAGTCGCCCATTGCCAAGTCTAGGCTAACACAAGATCCAGCTCGACGTTACTGACGACGGTTTCCTCTCCCTCATGTCCGACGACGGCTCCACCAAGGACGACGTCAAGGTCCCCGATGGCGAGGTTGGTGACAAGATCGACAAGATGTTCAACCAGGACGGCAAGGACACCAGTAAGTTCTAACCCGGAAAAAAGCCTCCGTGCACAACACTGACATGCTACCAGACGTCATTATCCTTACTGCTATGGGTGAGGAGGCCTGCATCGACGCCAAGGAGGCTCCCAAATAAGCGCATCGTTCAATACGTAGACTGTTTAGCAGGAAGCAAGGCGCGGATTGCAGACAGATTACGAACGGAGCTACGACACTCTTTGCATATCGTGTGCAAAGTTGTAGCTCCGCGGCAAGCGTAGCATTCTCCCGTGCAATTAGCTTGCACTAGGCGACCAATGCACGAGGTTCTTCGGACGGTTTTGGGTTCCTTGCATTGCCATGTGTGGGAAACGTATTACGATTCATTTCCCTTCCTAGATATATCCCTTACGCTTCTGGCAATGAATAAAAGGTGATGACTTTACGGCAATTGTCGTCTTTCTCATTGGTAGAAAATTCGTGTGACCGGTTCCCGGATCCGCGCTAGTGGCTGGCGAACTTCTACTTGCAAAGCGATCTGTAAAGCCATTGTAACATGAACAACTCAGCGCACAACGGCATGCAGTCTGCTCAACTTCAACTCCTCATCATATCAACCTTGTCGCGATAGAATTGTCGACTACGCTCAAGCCTACTTCATGTCGACTAAAGGCCCCGTTTGTGGCGTCGAAAACTGCAGGTCTAGACGCTACGAGGAGGGCGAAGACGGTTACTTGTATTGTCAAAATGGCCACCAACAGGCGGGTCTAGTCCGCGGAGAAGACGATGATGACTACGTAGGAGCTGCCCGAACAGTCAAGCGCAAAAAGAAAGAGACGGAAGAAGACGACAAATCGACTGGCAGGATTTACAAGGGTCCTCGAGCTTTTGACCTGTATTTGAAGTGTCTGCAACTGATTCTGCGACATCAGCTTTGGTATCTCGTAAAAGACCGAGGATTACCAATTGAACTTGAAGCCGTCACGCGCGATCTCTGGGCACTGCGTATCGCCCAACTTGGAGACAGGATTGCGAGTCATGACGAAGACTCGTCAGAATCCCAATCTCAGCAGCAGGTTTTCAGCACTCTGGAGAGCGAGGATGATGCTACAAACAATGAGAAAGGTCACCTCCGAGATGCAAAGGAAAAGAGAAATTTGAGGTTGTCGGCAGCACCCAATCTTAACGACTGTCTAGTTCTATGCTATCTTGGTATCATGACACTAAGGCTGCCATTTACGCCAGGCGACATCCATGCATGGGCTACCGATGGGCATTTGGCATATCGAAGGGCAATCAAGCTACTGCCACTCACCATGAGAGATCGGCTGCCACCTGCCTACCACGCTGTTCTTGATCCAAGCGCACCGCTCACTCACACACGATTTTACAAAACACTCGCAGACCTGCAAATTGGCTACAGTAAAGACCATGGTATAACCTGGCCGGCTCTCAACGTGCCGCTGTTGCTATTCCGCTATTTAAAAGAGCTCGCCTTACCACTTGAGCTGTATGATGCAACTAGACGTCTTGGCGACTTGCTGGGCTACGATTTTGCTCCCCACTACAGCGGTAAGAAACGTCTGGGTATACGGCATCTTGCCGAGGCGCAACTGGTGAGCTGCCTCATCATATGTATCAAAGTACTCTACCCACTTGATGATGAGAAGCGTTATCCAAAGTCATCATCGGAACCAACAACAGCGGTGATGAGCTGGCAGGCGTGGTGCGAGCAGATGCAGGCCGCTGAGAAATCGAGGCGAGGAGACAACGGACGCTTTACAACCGAACAGTTGACAAAGCTACAGGAGAAGGACATGTTATCGATGGAACCCCAAGATATGGACCAGTATCTGGACTTCTACGCCAGTACATTTCTGGATAATGCTGAAATACAGCGCACCAGGGACATTGATGATTTTCGAAAC